GTGATGCTGATAGGGTTGGACCCAGTCTGCAGTGGGGCCACCTGCATTGCGAAGGCGCCTTCGCAAGTCACCACATTCCACCACTAGGTGGCGCTGCCAAACTCTCTCTGTTCTGTGTCTGAAACTCCCAGAACAAGGAAAAGCTAAAATAAATTCATGAGATTTTCACTGTGCAAACAAGATCACGAGATCATGACAAGTGCATTCTCTATCCGTCAAAGGGTAATCTAACCTCCATCGAAAAGAATATTAAGATTGCTACCCTAAGTCGTAACAATATACCAGCCCAAAGAATGCTAATGAGATGGCAGAGGGAAGCACAAGGAAAAAGAATTTTTTAAAGTAGGAGATTATAGCAGCACCATGCACAATAGCCGGAAAGTGGAAACAGCCCAAATGTCCATCAATGAATGACTGGAGAAACAAAACGTGGCCCATCCGTATGATGGAATATTATTCAGTCATAAAAAAGCAATGAAGCGCTGATGCCTGCTAAAGCAGGGATGGGCCCTGAAGACATTAGGCTCACTGAAATAAGCCAGGTACTAAGGGTCATGTATCGTATGATTCCGTTTCTATGAAACGTCCATCGAGACAGAAGACACGTGAGTGGTTTCCAGGGGCCTGGGGACAGGTGAGTGAAGAGTGACTGCTAATGGGTAGGGGGTTTCTTTAGGGGGTGATGAAATGTTCTGGAATTGGATGGTTGTGACAGTTGCACAATTTTGTGAATACAGTCTAAACTACTGAATTGTACCCTTTTAAATGATGAGTTTTATGATATGTGAACTCGCTCTCAATTTTTTTTTTTTTAAGTTTTCTCTGTAAGGCAGGGGAGGGGCTTTCTGCTTCAAGGAGTCCCACTTCGGTAAAGGAGTTTCACTGAACAGGAAACAGTGTGAAGCAAGGGTGCAGCACAGGAAAAGGTGTGTCTGCCCCCCACTCATGTGTGTGATTAATGGCACATCCAGGGACACACAGACACCACCCTGAGCTGGAAGTCCCAGCTTCCTTTGGGAGCCAGGAAGACACAGACCCGTCTGGCTTTCAGTCCTGCTTGGAATCTACTGGCCCCCTCCCGCACGTCCCGAGAGGAAATAGGACTGATTTCACCCACTCACCATCCTAAAGAACAGCTCCAGGAAACGCTGGGACTCCTTGCTGCTGGCGTTGCTGAAGGAT